CCTTTGTAAATAGCTTGTATACTACAGAGAGCAAGTTGATTGGCCTGTAATTCTTTAAGTCTTTGTCATCTCCTTTCTTATGTATTAAGATGATGTTAGCATTCTTCCAAGACTCTGGTTATTCTTCCCGTCAGGAGACACCTCGTAAACAGGGTGGCTAGTTTTTCTAACGCAATCTGTCCTGCATCTTTCAGCATATCTGATGTTACCTGATCCTCACCAGCAGCTTTGCCTCTTTGCATGCTCTCCAAAGCTCTTCTGACTTCTTGTATCATTACTGGTGGGGTGTCATCTGGGTTACTGCTAGTTCTTATGATATTAAGGTCGTGGTTGTCCCGGCTACTGTACAGATCTCTGTAAAACTGTTCTGCTTTTTTAACTATCCTATCCACATTGGTAGTTATTTTGCCTTCTTTGTCCTTTAGTGCATACATCCGATTTTTGCCTATTCCAAGTTTCCTCTTCACTGCTTTGACGCTTCCTCCGTTTTTCAGAGCGTGTTCAATTCTCTCCATGTTATACCTTCTTACATCGCATACCTTCCGCCTATTAATCAACTTCGAAAGCTCTGCCAGTTCTATTTTGTCTGTTGTACTTGAGACTTTCATGATTTGACGCTTCCTAATGAGATTCTTCGTTTCCTGGGAAAGCTTGCCAGTGTCCTAACTACCCTGCCTCCAACTTCCACTGCACACTCCGTAATGATACTCGTCAGATTATCGTTCATTGTATCTACGCTAAGGTTGGTTTCCTCACTAAGAACCGAGTACCTGTTCTGAAGCGAGACTCTGAATTCCTGTACTTTCCTTCTCAGTACTGGCTCATTGATTGGCTTCTTGCGTATCAGTTTCTGTCGTTCCTTCTTCAAGTCTAGGCGAATTCAAGACCGTACTATTCTATGGTCACTGCATCGTACCTTGCCAACCACTTCCACATCCTGCACGATGCCTGGGTGTGCACTCATTATAAAGTCTATTTCGTTCTTATTTTTGCCATTAGGGCTCCTTTATGTCCACTTACGGTTTCCTCGTTTTCAGAAGAAGGTATTCAAAATCCGTAAATTATTGCGTTCTGCGAATTCTACTAGTAGCTCTCCTCTGGGGTTCCTAGTACCGATGCCATATTCTCCTACTGCCTGGTCTCCAGCCTGCTTCTTCCCTACCTTTGCATTAAAGTCTCCCATCAGTGTAATGTACTGCGTTTTTACCTCACTCATTGCCGATTCCACGTCTTCATAGAAGCTTTCAACTGAAGCGTCATCATAGCGGGTTGTAGGCACGTGAGCCTGTACCACCTTCATCTTGTATCTCTTATTCAGTTTAATTATGATACCTGCCACCCTTTCATTATAGCTATAGTATTCCTCTATGTTGCCAGCTATGTTTCTGTGAATTGGGAGCCCCACTCCCAGTTCTCTTCTGTAAGCCAAGCCCCGATAGCATAGGACGTGCCCATTCTGTAGCACCGTATATGCCTCATCTGCCCTCCTGACCTCACTGAGGCCTATTATATCCCATTTAACACCCTCTAGCTCCTCGAATAGTACAGCTAGACTTCCCTCACTAGATAAGGTTCTAGCGTTAAACGTTGCCAGATTCAGGTTCCAATGGTGGCCTGTCCGGATCCAAAGATTCTTAGCACCCTCTGCTGCGTTGCAGATCTGACCGCCGCCGTGGACAGTTGCTTCGCAGGTGCTGGGGACTAAGGGCAGTGAGTTAATTGACGTGTGCATGTGGGAGGTAGTGGCTAGATACTGCACCAGGGTGGCCAATCCTTCTCTGGTGAGGGAGTGTGTTACCGGCGGTGGTTACGGGTGAGGCCGCACCCCAGGCCTCTTAATGCAATTCCATCACAGCGCGGATCTTTTTTTAATTCAGTTGGGAACTGCGCGGCACCGGGATTTGAACCACGGACCTTTTGCATGTGAGGCGGATGTTCTAACCACTACGCCATCGCCGCAGAATGCCAGCCAAACCCCAAAGAGACTCCCCTGCTGCTTCCTGTGCGCTGGCCTAACCTCTCTTTTGCCAAGTGGCGCTCATGTCGCCACCGCTGTAGCATACACCGCTGTAGCGCTGTAGCCATAGCAGCACAAGCTGCCTAACTGAAGTGTGAACTATACCCGTGCTCTGTCTTCCGTGCTAGCTGATTTTCGTTTTTCTCTGAGAATTTTTCGCTGATCGTACATGCTATTGCAGATACGAGCTTCCATGGCCTGAGTGCCACGAGCTGCACTTGATGGCTTTCATCTTTCATTGTGCCAATCATTCGCTTGGGGCAGAACCCATAGCAGACAAAGCTGTGCACTGCACTCGCTGTCTTTTATCCTCCCCTGCAACAATCGTTCACTCGTGGTGGAAGCCACAGCAAACTTGTGCTCCAACACTGTGCTGCGCGAATGGTTGACTATGCTTGCTTGCCTTTATCTTCTATAGTAGTAGTAGTTCATTCATGGGAGGCGCCACAGCTGCACTTGCTATCTTCCTTCCTCCCCTTTTCCAGCCATTCACTCATGGTGGTAGCCACAGCAGGCTCAAGCTCCCTCAAGCTGTGCACTACACCCTCTGTCTTTTATTACCTGTGTCTTTGAGACTGTGAGTTGGAAAGGCACTTTTATTCTTTCTTGTGCCAATCGTTTGCCTTTGGCAGGAGCCATAGTAGACACAAGCTACGCACTTTACTCACTGTCTTTTATCCTCCCCTGCACCAATCGTTCACTCATGCTGCACTGCACTCTTTGTCCTTCATTCTCCCTTGCGCCGATCGTTTGCTTGTGGTGACTGCCATGGTCGGCGCGAGCTCCCACTTTGTTTGGCAGGTGCTCACTATCTTTTGTCCTCTCCTGTGCCAGATGTTCTCTCCCAGCAGAAGCAACAGCAGACATGAACAGGGTCGTGTGCTTGCTGTCTTTCATCATCTCCTGAGTCAATCATTTGCACATGGAGAGAGCCACAGTAAACACGAGTGATTCAGCGCATTTAATGTGTTTAATCTTGCCCAGTGCCAATTGATTCTCACGGCAAAGTCATAGCAGACATATGATCTCACGCTCTGGATTCGACGAGCTGTGCGTTGGGCTTGCTCTTTTCCATCCTCCCCTAAGCTAATTCTTCAGATTGTTACATCATATCACACTAAACCTGCAATCAGTCACATAAAAGCTGCTCTTTGAAATGCAAAAAGGATAAAGGAGGAAAATCCAGAAATTGGGATGAGGGTAGTTCATTGCCAAGTGTTCCTGACATTGCTCTTTACCATCTCTAAATCTATTCCTGTAAATTAGGGACAGTCATTTTAGTGCACTAGGTGCCCTTGCTAAGTATTTTTGAAAGAAAAAAAAAATTTGCGTCTGCTTCAGTCATTTAAATGCTGTAGGAGAGTGGGTGAAGCCTAGGTTATAAAGAAACACTCAAAAATACAATGCACAGAGCGCCTTGAATGTCTGCTGATTGCATAAACCTTCATTAATGGTCACACTACTCCGGTTCACCGTAGGGAAGAAATATGGCAGTTCTGCACCCAGTTCAGGTATTCATTTTAAACACTGCAAAATATATAAGCAGAACTGTAACACATGATCGGATAGTCAGTAAAAGTGTCAAAAAGTTATTGAAGCCTATGGCCAAGCAGTTTCAAACTGGAAAGGGTTAAGACAGTTTACTTACAGGCTGGTGCCTTTGGATGTAGTGAATGCTTAACATAAAAATATTTTTCTTGTTTAAAAAAATTGCTCCATTTAAACATTCACAAATGCATGTGTCTGAACATTAGGCATTTTACTTAAAAAAAGTAAAATGCCTAATGTTCAGACTCATGCAGATTGATACTACGGTCGTCCTTAGGCACCAGTCTGTAAGTCGACTTCGTTATAAAAAGGCATGGCATAAAAAGGCATAATCAGGAGTCTCCCGGATTGTCCGAGAGACTCCCTATTTCGACGGTTTCTTCCGTTTGTACGGTTGTCATGAAAAAAAAAAAACCCTGAAAATCGAAATATCTATGTGGTGATCTGGTCACATTGACATAAATGCAGGTCAATTTGCTCTGGGCTTTTTGCAGACCTATCACATTTTATTATAAACGAATTTGAGTTGTTGATCTTAACGTACAGTAGAATCTTAGTGATGCGAAACCGCGGCAGATAGGAATTTGTCAAATTCTCCAGCCACATTCCTCTGTGTCCATTAGGCCAAAGTGTTCGAATGTTCCAAACACTTTTCCTAATTGCAGCTGTTAATATGAACTTTAGTACCGAAACCATCGAACGAAGGCCGAGAACAGCATGCTTGAAGCTTCAGAATTACTTGATTAATTATGCAACGTTGCGCCGAAAGAACAACCACAGACAGAAACAAATATAGACACCACGGGCACTCATTTGCAACTGTTTATTCTTTGAGGAAACAGGCCATTATAAACCCACTCTTCGTCGACACACGTTCAACATGATCAGCCCTCCTCTTTTCTCAGAATTGCGCACACGACAAGCGCACGCACTGCCTTGTGGTTGTCGTTGCCACAACCACTGTGGACAAAACTGCGATCGTTCTTGACACGATCTGGCGACTACGCAACAGATGGGAAACCGCAGAAGATGCGATCATAGATAGCCTAAAATAACTTAGTTTTGAAGGCATGTGCACAGCCGCCGCTCTCAAAACCGTGGTCTCGGCGACGCGATAGCAGTGTACGAGCTCTGAGGGCATGCGGCTAACGCAGCGATAATATTTGTAGTATTAAATTGTAATATTCCTTACGTATGGTTCTGCTTGGCATGTTCCGTAGGCCGAAAGTGATGTAAATGGAAAATCTAAAATGTTTTTCATAAAATTCCACTTTACCTGCAACACGTGCTGGTGATGTGGCATGCAGAAACATTTGAAGTTTTTGGTACTGTATACAGTTTGTTGAACAAAATTTTTATTAACCTTTTCTGTATATTGTATTTCGATACTAAGTATTTTGAAGCATGCAACACTTCTAAACTGCTTTAAATACAGGTTGCAAAAAGCTTTGGCAAAAGGCGGAAGCTCCGGCCTCCTGTTATACAACCAAGCACAGACATTGGTCCAATGGTGGACATGGTCATTGATGATGGGACTGAAAAGAAACCGGTTTGCTTTGCAGGCGGAGACATTGGTGCAGGTGAAGTATGCATGCTTTCATTTGCCGGTGTGAAATTTTCTATATACTCTCATATTTGTTTCTGTATGTGATAATGTAGAGCAAAGATGTACCATAGCAATGGTAGTTTTAGAAAAAAATTTCAGTGTTTTTTTTTATACATTGACATAAAGGGAGTATTGCACATACATAATTTACACACTGTACTGAGTTAGCATTACATAAGTCACTGAACATTCCAGAGAAAATCTGCAGAAAAAATGTACATGTAAGTAAACCAAAGGCTGCTAAGTATAGATAATAATGTTCGGGGTTTTTTATGCCAAAATTACTATACGCTTATGAGGAATGCTGTAGCAGAAGGCAGTAAATTTGTGACTATTCAATTTTGAGGCCTCAATATCTCTGCAGCTAGGGCAGGTACAACAATAATTCCCTTTGCAGTGGAAACCTATATGTGTGTAGAATGCAAGTATGGGAGCAGAATTTAGAGCACATGCCTTTTTAATTAATTACTAATCAAAATTTGTAACACAATTCCAACTGCTTTTGAAAATGTATAGTTCATTTTGCTGCAAAATAACCAATAAAGGCCTAAAAACAAAAACCTCTTCCATACTTTCACTCTATAGTCATTAGTCTATGTCGGCATATCCTAAATATCACTTTTAATTAAGCACTTTTTTTTTCTATTGTGGCCTTAAACAATAGGTGCTGAACTTAGGTTATCTCAAGAACAATGTGAGTTATAGGAAAACTAATTAAATATTTGAAATCAGCAGAAAAAACTGCATAACCCTGTGCAGTTTTATCAAGATCACTGAAGAAATAAACAAAAAATGTCTAAGACCAGTCTGCCCCCTTAAGCCTAATACCATTATTAACCTGTGATGTTCCTTTGTGCATGTCATCCGGGATAAAGCAATGGCAGCAGATTCATCAACAGACTCAAAGTGTACCAGCACGGATGCCAGCCAAGAAAGTCTTGTTCCTGAGCAGCCAAGTTTAGCCACTGATTGCAACAACGTGCCTTATTTAATCAACGCGGAAGCTTACAGACAAGAGCAGCCGAGTGACAGTGTGGCTCCTTCAAGCAGCACCGAGGCTGACAGACAAGAGCAGCCAAGCAACAGTGTGGACCCTTCAAGCAGCACTCAGGCTGACCGACAAGAGCAGCCAAGCGACAGTGTGGCTCCTTCAAGCAGCACCGAGGCTGACAGACAAGAGCAGCCCAGCCTACTAGATGTTCAAAATGGAAACACGTCTAGTTCTGACAACTCCACAGTGGACAAAGCAAAAACAAAAACACACAAAGTCACCTTGGGAACCCCTATGATTCTTGGATTCAGCAAGTACAAGTCACTTCCACCACGTGAAAACTTTGCGAAGGGCATGACTGACTACATCCCTTATGAAAACTTGCCTGGGGCTACTGGAAGATACGAAAAGCTGCGCACTATTCTTGAGAAAGTGCGTGCTATGCGGGAAGAAAGTGATGAGGATGAGGAATCGTAAAAGTGACTCAAGCTGGAAGTTCGCAACTTTGAGGGTCCCATTATCTGATCTGATGCAGAAAAAGGCCCCTGTTCTTAAGGCCTGACCGAGACCTCCAGGTAATCCAGCAGACTGAAGCAGCTCCCAGTGCCCAGGGACACTGGGGTAGTCGTGTTGTCTGTATGCTCTGAATTTTTCACTCATCCAATAAAATTTCAAGCAGCATCAATAAAGTCTTCGCTATACCCTTGAACACAAGTCAAATACCATGAGTAGCCTTAGTCAGCCTTATAACCACTTATTTGATATGTGCTTACAGCTATTTCAGGTGTTTTGCCTATTCTGTATTGCACCATGGCCCCTTCTCAAGAGAGTGTATTGCAGCCCTAATGAGGGTGCCTAGCAGTGGTGCAACTACTGTTGCGGCTAAATTTAGTATAGCAGTCATAAGACCATGGGCATTGAGATGAACAGCAGCAGCATCAACAGGTGAAGGTCAGACACATCCTTCATTTTCTTTAATTCCTAGTTCAAACTTCAACTGAAAACCTAGGTTTGTGGCACTACGTGCAATGTGTATGCAGTAAACTGCAAAACTTTATATTCTGTGGAGTGCAGAAGTCTGCTGCTGTGTGTCACGTATGAAGCTCAACAATGGCTGTTTTCCACTGTACTAGTATGTATAAAAACAATATTCAAGCCATTGGTTGGCAATGTACAAGTCACCCCAGCAATGCTAGTCATGAAAGGTGCAAGTTTGCTTCGTTATGTAGCCAACATACAACTTTAGTTGGATATTTTATAAGTTCACATATGTCGGTGCTTTCTCCCTGCCCTCTTTTTTTTTCTCTTTCTCTGTGATCACTAATATGCGTTAAAGGAGTACCAAAACGATCTTGAGGCACTGAAAAGGGGTCATTTTTCGTTTCTTTGTCGTGCACTGTTAACATGCACAACACTCTGGAGCTAGGCAAAAACATTTTACATTTCTGGTTTTCTCCGCCCTCTGCAACGGGCATTACCATGATGAGTCAATACATATCCCTATGTTTGCGAACTTGCATCCTGCATGCAGCCAAAATCACTGTCCGAGTCACTGGACAATAGTTCACTAATGGTTGTTTACCAGCAACACATAGGAATAACATTAGACGACAGAGTTGCTTCTAGTACATCATAGGTTGCTTTCCTTGCATCTGTGAACAGCCCTCGTTAATATTGACAGCTTGCAAAATATAGTTGCTGCGCATATGTGAGCAGGTTTCCACTCTCCGCTATTCCCGATCTTTCCTTCGCTTCTTTCTCGCAGTGCATGGAGTAACGTAATTACCACAAGGCATGATATTCCTGCAATGTATTTTAGAAATTTATGCTGCTCCCACACCTTCGCTGAAATGTGGAGTTGTGAACACGCTTAGTGGGAGAAAAGCAGTCTGGGAACAAGAAATAATTTTGCAGGAAAGTCAACTTGCAGCTCTATGCTAGGGTCTGCTCATGATTTTGCAAAGTGTCAGTTGAAACCATGTGTTTGTATAGTGGCAGTATTAACATATTCAGTTTATAGGCACTGTAATACTCAATTCACGGTTCTCTACATCAGTGCTTTAATTTAGAGTAACAACACCAAAATTTCTGCGATTCGTGTCACTGTTGTGCTCCTTTAACAGCATGTGTTATATGAGAATTTCCTGTAGTTCTAGAAGGTCTGTTCACATAAAAGACTTGAGCTATGAAATAAAAAATAACCACAAGATGTGTGCCTAGTCTCTTGTTGATAACATACTATTCCTCCAAATCAATGTAAGTGGAGTATAGGTTAGTGCGAACCTACCTGGAGAAACCACAAAATGAAGAACAAGTTGCTGCAGAAAGCTTGTGCAATAAAAATGCCATCCCTCTACTATGCAAAAATGCCTTTTTGTGCTTTGTGTTATTGTTGGCTTTTTATGCAGTGCAGAAAAATAGACTATGCACCATAACCAAATAGTATCGTGTCGTTATCAATTTGCTCGGTGCTTTCTGTAGCTGCTCAACAATTCTGCGATCATGCATTGGGTCTTCAGCAAAGTGGGAAGTTTGTACGTGCCACATTTTTTTACGAGTTTCCCAGCAGTTTTGCCACCTAAATCATATTTGTGCATAATGCAAAAAATGCAACACCTTACTGGCCTTGACATTTAGGGGGCGAGGGGGGTCAACCTAAATTTGTGATAGTATGGGGCCATTAAAGCCTGCAGGAGATGCTCAACGATTTGTGCTAGTTGCCACTGCACACGCACCACACCAGGTCATATGCTAATCTCTTTATGTATGCACATGTGAACTTGCTATGATGGAGCCACTGCTTGGTGGTTGCCTGGTGGAGCTCACCGACTCGCCGATATCCACGTGGAGCTCGTTCGCTGTTCTGCATTTCACAAGCTAAGCATTCACTTGCTGGTGTTCATGATACGAGGTACTATGGCAGGGTGATGCCTTTTTCGATGCCAATGTTTTTCATACTTTTCGCGCTTAATTGGCCTGTAGTCAGAGCTACAATCCGTCATAGTTACCGACTGGATCAACCAGCAGCGAGTGGTGGATGATAATACCACCATAGAATAAAGCATAAGGTGTCGGTGAAGTTTCCGACTCCTTACCACATCTAAGGTCACCTGCCTGTGCTACAAGGTTCATTGGGTCGGCACCAATCATTCGCTCAGTTACGAGTTACAAAACTATTCAGATGTTGCACAAATGCAGGCTCAGAGTTCAGTGATGTTAGTGCTTGTGATCTTTGACAACTCATACCAGAGGTTCCACTAGCAAGAAGGAATTTGACTTTAGCACACATACACATGCGCTAAGATACTTCCTTGAGAAGAAACACCTTATTGTGAAGAAGGGCTCACTTTTGTTTAAAATTTAGACTGTTGCTGCTCTATAAGGCCACTCAAACCATTGCAGACACTGTCAAGAGAGCTTGACCCAGGCGCTGCACTTGTTAGTCTACAATGGTGACTGGCCCCTTAATAACTTACGGTCATGTACCGGAAAGGGCATAGCCTTGAAGTGCAGCAAGACATCAGAAGTTGCCTATAATCTAGTCTCTAGTGATGAAGTGAACAGCTCACATAAATCATGACCGAAATTTCGGCCGTAAAAGAGTCTGGCTGCCTGGCGAATGCTGTGTCTTTCATTGTTTGGAGCTCCCTCCCAAAACTTGCTTGTTGGCATGAAGCATATAAAACGGTTTACACATGTTCTCGGGCAATGAGTGCATGTAGAAGTTCATTCCAGTCTCTATACATGTGTGCTCGTATTTTGTAGCAATGCATTGTGCCTTATTTTATGCTAGTCTTACCATCCACTATACTGTACATGGTCAGCTGATCTCATTGATAATGCAGCAGACAGTCACCCTGACTAATGGCCAAGTGCTAAAAGTATGAAGAGGCATTAGCATTGAAAAAGTATCGCTCCAAAGTACAGGCCCTAGATGTAGTACATATGCCAGGGACAGTAGCCTTGCATTTGAATTTCAATACTCCGTTACATTCAAGCGAGGACAAAAACCTGCCATGGAGTGCACTTTGCAGCCAAGCAAATGTAATGTATATATTCTGCTAACTCTATATTTGGCTATTGCGAGGACAAAAAAAAGTATGCTAAATGTGCTGTTATGCAGGATATATATATATATATTTGCCTAGCTTGAGCACCGTGAAGGTAGTGGTGAAGAATTTATTTAGGTCACCAGTATAGATAGGGCAGTATATGTAAAGGGCCATGCTGCCATAATATTACAAGCAATAGCAGCTTGGGAACTTTTGAGCACCCTGTCCATTTGAATAATGTATAACACACTTAGTTGTGACAGCATTTGGAAAGCTTATCATTTTCACCCATCACGCAATCAAGTTAACCTGCTCGACTGCTTGGTATCTCTGCTTGGCAAGTGGCTTTCGACTGGCATAATCATTTAAAACCACCATGGTTGGTTAGGCAGAAATAGCAGTCAATAAAATCACCGTAAAAGATTACATACTTCAACCAATGAATAAACAATAGGCCACTAAATTTCATTCAAAGTTATAACATTTATTCAGCATACTCAGTACAAAGAGGCTTCACCTCACTTGTGACGTGTAAATGTCCAAGGTGCCATAGCCCCTACTTGATGTGACCAATGCCTTGCTGCAGCATTGAAATAACATTTGGCTTGAGGTATACATATTTTATGTACAAAATAACTTACACACAATCCACAGGTTGCAAGGTGGCTGAATAACATAGGTGCATCTAATATCAATTCACTGTCACAGCATAGCATTACAGCATCTCCATATGTATTTATATAATGGCAAGAGTGTCCACACTATATGCATAACAAATGCAAAAAAAAATTGAGAATGTTTGCTCAGTTCTTACTTCTATAATCCCTGAGACTCCTTGAGCATTCTATATACAAACTGTATTAACAGAGTATTCAGGGCAGTAAGAATAAATGTGCAGGTAGGAAGGAGACTGGTATAAAGAAAAAAAGAAAATGTTGATGTTTTATTGCCAAGAATTTACAGAAGCAGGCAGGCATTCGGAAGGGTGCATTTAGCAGTGCATGATAAAGGCGTGTAAGGAAATATTCAATTTTGTGTAAGGAAATATTCAATAATCCAAACACAGTCACTCGGCTACAATAAAAAGGTAGGCAGTATCCCTGCCTTAAATAATCTGCACTCAGACAATAGTGTGATGATTCAACCAATAAAACTAACCATCAAACTATCAAGTGCTCAAGTGTGGAAGCCGGGAGCAGTACATTTTCCTTTCTGGCTTCATGGCAAATGTTCAGGCAGATGATAACCATTCCTCTGAAGAACCCTTTTTCAAGTTGTTTTCTTCCACGCTCAAAAAAAATTACCCTAATTTACAAATACATGCCTACCTAAGCCTTCAGCAACAAACTAGAAGATAGCTGACTGGTTGTTCCTATGCTGTGAAAAAAAAAAAATCGTAACACTTTCATTCCAATTATGAGCCACTTTTAAGACTTTTCACAACTGGGTGTCACAATACACCACTTGTTTTAAATGCTAAGACACAACTATTCCTATTTTAAAATAAAAGTTCGTCAGTGCCTTGACAAGAGCAGAATGCCGCACTTCTCGGGATATAATTTCACCCATGAAGTATTCATGTAAACTATTAATAACTTCAAATTCCTATTTCTGAGCATGATGCTCATTTCAGTCCATTTTCATTCAAAACATAAACAAATAAATGTTTTTTTTTTCTAATCTTTCCTCAATTACAAGCATAAAAGCATTTAGGAATGTGCAACTGGTAAACAGCTGTAAATGCATTAATTAGGCCACTCGTTAGAAAATGATGGCCACAGTTTGCTGTATGCAAGGATGCATCCTATCTACATATGATTATAGAAACAAAAGTGAAAGAGCAGATTTTCAGTAAGGCTTCATTTTCTTTTCCTGGCATAAATGTGGGTAATTATGTCAAAGCACATTTGATGCAGTATCACTAAATTCTGCACAAGGTAGAAATACAGTCCCTGATGCAGAGTGAAAATGTGCAGCATACCTAGCCATTTTTAGAGTGTCGCATGAAATATTCAGTTTTTTAGAATGTATAGGTCAAACTGGCTTGTAGTAGAGTGTTAATTCTACAACAGAGCATGTTCATTGTGCCTTCACGAGCTTCTTCACCTACCAAATAGTATAAAAAATATGGTCCCTTGAAACATGCTACCTATACATAGGAATGCTTGTAAAATTCTGTACTAAATGTGGCCACATAAATACAGCTTTTTGTTCAATCTCCACGAAAGCAAACAGAAGGTATAAAATTATTTGGGTCACTGTAATGAGCCACATGCACACAATTTGCCAAAATCACTCGTAAAATCACACTGCTTTGTAATTAAAATTTTTAAGAAAGTCCAGTAAGATTACCAGCATCAAAAAGTCCCAAAGCTTGGTTTTTCTAACATTTCATCACATGGTCAAAACAAGCTGTACTTTGCTTGTAAAATGATAGTACAATTCATGAATAATTCTGTTAAGTTTACTTGTATAATTGTACTTTGCTTGTAGAATGATAGCACAATTAATGAATAATTGTGCTAACATGTTTAAAAAAGTGTTATCGAAGCTACATGACATCTCAAGTGAGTATATTAGCATTAAAAAAATTCATATTCTGTTATCTCTCCTTGAAGGGACACTAAAGAGCAACAATGACTTGCTTTGGATTGATAAACGGGACTTTGAGAACTCTAATACCATAAGTTTCACCATCATAAGTTCATTACTAGTGGAGAAATCGAAGGTTGAAGTTTCATTTTAAAACTTCACGCTGAAATTTCCACACGTAATGTCACTAATTTGAAAATGTATTTTTTCATGTTTTCACAATAATAGCTAGATGAAATTTTCTGAAACTTTGTATGCTTAATCTATGGCACCCACAGATGGCAATGTACTTCATTTTTATCGATTATAAGCTACATGGACCTAGTAGAGTCCTTCAAGATCTATAACCTTACGGTCTTTGGTGCGGGAAGGTGGCATCTCCGCTTGCTTTTTTCTGTTCCCGCATTTTCTCGCTTACCAAGCGTCATCTCTAGGTAAGAGTGGCATTTTCAATTATTGTCAAATTATATTTTCCTAATACATTGAAAACCGTTTCGCTCTTTAGTGTCCCTTTAAGCTTAGTCGATAAAGAAAGAAAGAAAACTTTTTACTCAGTGGATAAACACAAGGAAAACCGTTTCGCTATTTAGTGTCCCTTTAAGCTTAATGGATAAAGAAAGAAAGAAAACTTTTTACTCAGTGGATCAACATAAGTTTTGGGGCCTTTGGTTTCCTGTAGATGAAGCTAACTTGCGTCAAGCCAGCCTTAAAATGAACACAGTCCATTCATGTTGATTTTTTCAGGAAGCATTTTGGTACTAGCACTAAATCATGCTACAATTCAGGTTAGCAAATGAAAAAAAAAAAGAAAGAAAGAAACTGGTAGAACTGGCATACTCACAGAGAAGCCTATTGGCATTCTATCACATACACTTAATAGTTACCATTATTCTCATCATCTGATTTATGGCACACCGTTTCATGTCAGAATTTTTGAATATGCTTGCATTTCAAGTAGCATGCTATCCTATAATGTAACTTGTCACCAATTTGCAAACTGAATCCTTCTGATAAAGAGCTTGAACTTAGTGGAAAAGTGTTTTCCTGCAAACAGCTTGAGCAGCTTCCAGGGTTGCTGTAACCGTGATCATGGTTCTTATTCTATTCATAAAGCATGAAATGACTCATTGAACATATTTAGCAGGAGTGAAGAGTGTCGATTTACACACACATGAGGTCTAAAATACTGAATGAAGAAGTTTTATCAGACACAGCATAAAATGAGCAATAATAATTCATTATAATTACTTGCTTATCAAATTGTATTAGTATTTTCAGTGCTTCATTTTATATTGAATGATAAAACAGTCAAGAACACAATCTCAAAACAAAAGCATTAAAGCCATCATCCCAAATACCAAACAGGACTAGCATTTCAAACAAAGAACAGTGTCATAATGCCCAAGAGTGACAAATATTCCAAAACAGAGCATTCCTAAGCAAATTATATTTATCATCCAGGCTTAGACTAATATCAGTTCTCTTCCCTATATGTGCACTATATCCAAGAAAGAACTATTCAAAACTAAAAAATGAAAACTTTGTCAGAAAGCATACTTCAGTTTCTTTTTCTTTGGCTGGGAGGCACAAAAAGTTTTTTGGAGGTGGTGTGTGGATGTACGTATACCCAGTACGAGACCCTGCGATCAGGGCAGTCAGTAACAACAGTTTGGGCACCAAGTGTTTTAAGTCTGCAATAGCACCTTCATTTTTTACAAGGCACATATTTACAGGCCTCGGCCCTAACAGTGGAGTGCACTTACAGCAAACTGCTTGAGAGAGAAACCTTTAAAATGATCTTTTATGAAGTTAAGAGCTCACAAGTTGATAGATTTCATGGGCTAAAATGACATGCATGGCAATTTTTTAGATAATAAACTTATGGTTGTATTCTTTTAAATGACAGCATGGTAACTAAATCATTGTGGTGATGTGCTCAGTGCTTTTTTCAATCCTTTACAAATTGTTTTAAAAAATGAAAGCCTCTTAGTACTAGTTTCCTTTAAGCAGGGCCGCTGTAAGAGCATTCAACATTACCACACTTTCTAACCAATGTTTAACATGCCGCAAAGCTGCTCTAAACAGTTCCACAGTGAAAATAAAAGTTGTCAGCAATTTTAAATCTTTACTTTGAGTGAGTGAGCACAAGCATAAATGTGTTTCATTGTTAATGTATCGAAATGGCATGAATGTTTAGTTAATTCATTAACCTGCACTGTTCTATAAAATTTTAAAGTGTTTTCTAGTATTATGCAAAGGTATACATTTCTCACCGTCAGCTCAATTATGAATCTCACGTAAATGATAAAATCACAAGCTTTTTCCATTATTAACTCTTAACTTATTGAAATCCACAAATGTATGAAAATGTTAAATAACCTTTCTAAACCAAATTAACTCAATACACTTGCATGCATGCAGTCAGTTTTTACTCTCAATAAAACTGTTTGTTCAAAATCGACAAGGGGAAAATGGACATCATACATGTGTTTGAAAACCATGCTCAGATTTTCAATTTTGATTACACTCGGCAATCAAGAAATTTGTATTAGGTCAAATAGACTAGCAGCTAATACATTTATGTAGTGTTTCTATAAATTTTAGTAATTTAATGCTGTAACCATGCAAGCCAAGAGTGAAAAAAAGCACACACATAAATACATTCGATCATATTAGTGCCACATGCATATGTGAAGAAAACACGTGTGACCTGCCACGCATATTGTTGAGCAAGAATGTAAAAAATATTTATATATGCATGCATTGACAGCTGCACCAAATTACATTCAAATACATTATTGTATTTCATCATATGTACCTATTAGCAACCATAATGGAAAGGAAATGACATTTGAGTCATATATTTCATATGCCTGCGAAGTTGTCAAAACATTGGGCTGTATACAGTGGCACTGCTAATTACAATTAATACCATCACCGGCATCCAACTACTGGCATGTGATAAAACTTTTTGAACACATTCATACCCCAACTAAATATTTTCCACAGAACACTTACATGCAAATTACAATTGGAACAGCCTGTTCTGAGTGTCTACATGCGAGTGTAAATAAAATTTCAGGCAGCATATATTCTTTACAACCTGTTACTTTTTGTTTAAATATTTTACACCTCAATCTTTCTCACCAGAGGAACAAATTTTCACTCTTTTAAAGCCTAGGAAATGGGGTAGAAGAACAAAGCTTCACTCTCTTAAAGCCTAGGAAATGGGGTGAACAAGTGATCTCCCCAGCCTCATTTCATGGTACACCCAATTAGTCTCAACAGAGTAGAAAATGTACAGATATGGTGGCACTTTGCCCTGGGCAATGAAGTTTTTATGGACAAGTTTGTGATGGAGGCCTGATGTGGGGAACAAACAGGCAAACCTTTCAGCGGAGTGGTCCAGTTAGTGACAAACACTATGCCAGTATGGGTTGTTTAGGCCCATGGTGGTTGAACTCTCACTGTGCTTGTCCCCACATTGGCAGAACTGTTTTTCTCACTGTCGTTGTGGTCAACAAGGTCAGGATGTGTACACCTGCACAGTGGATGCCTAGCGTCAGCCTCTGCCTTGTGCTCATCCAAGTGAGTGCACTACATCACGCTCACACCCTGTGTACATACAGGGAAGAGCCAAAACATGGGCACACTGTCAGTCGACGTAGTGATGGTAGTGATGGTGCACGTGCTCATGCAAATGGTGGTGCTCGTGACGCTGAGCAGAAGGAGGTGGTGGACCGGTCAGCTGCTCGCGTTCTATCCAGCTGGCTACCTGGCGCATGGCACGCTGGCGCTCCAAGTCCCGCTCTCGGTGTCGGTAGTGGTGATGCCAGCCACGACAGGGTGGCTCCTCTTCATGCGACTTTGAGCGCCTATGTTGACGCCGCTCACACTGAGGGCTTGATGAAGCACCTCCACATTCATGGCCTCGGTCGAGCAATTGGTAGGGACATGGTGTGGGCTCTGGCCGTGAGGTGGCCTCAGCTCTGCGGGCTGCTGCCGCCTGCTGCGGTCGTCTGCGCATTACAAGGGTTCTAAGAGTTCGTATTGACATTCAGAGCCAATGAACAGAGTTAGTGGCCTACATTAAACATGAAACTACAGATTTGGCAAATACTTGCTGCATAAAAAGATTTCCAGAAAAAATTTTATTTTGTAGCTGAAAATAAATTCATTCTGAAATCAGTCAAGAAGCCTGTGATTAAAACCATTCAGCCCCTATAATAATCGAGAACTTCCTATGGCAATGGAAGCAGAAGAAACAGTCGGTAGCAAACAGTTTTGTTGAATTACTATTTTGGTGCTATCATTAACAGGTTTTAGGAACAGCTGTACGATTTCCTGCAGGGTGTATGCACTGATGCTTATTGGCAAGGAAGTACTGAAATTCACACCTGTAATAAATATGGTTGCTTCAGAGTAGATAAAGGACATACCCCACATGGCAATATTTTGCAAAGATCTCCTGTTTTATAGTGGGTGTTGTGGCTGCTATCAGAATATAATTTAATATACTTCTTCCTGCTGAGTTATGAACCCTTGTACCTATCTTGAATTGGGAGAAGCCCTTCGTACATCATTTCATTCCAATAAAGGCAGAGCTGTACACAGCTCTTCACTCTCAACATACTGTGTGCAAGCTATCACATTGCCAGAAGCAGCATAACTCTCTCTTAGCTTTGCTCTTGGAAGCTTGGTATGAGCACTCCACAGTTCTGGTGAATGTACAGTAGACTCTCAGTCAACAGAAACCTGTTCAACAGAACTGCTGCTTAAATGGAACAACTGCACCTGGCACGATTGGTTTCATACTTCAGATTCTCCACCTTTTTTTCATTTCTCAGTAAACGAAACTCCTGTTAAATGAAACACATTTTTCTGGTCCATTCTGGTTCAGTTTTTAATAAAAGTCTACTGTACTACGAGTATTTGTCTGCATGTAAGGACAGATCTGCATATTTAAGTTCAGTGTTGCTGTAATAACTCCATAAAAAAGCACAATAGAGTCAGTAAATTCAAGCATATACATACTATATGCATACGTGATGACGAGCATGTGTAGCCATGTGTGCGTGTGTGAGAGTACGTACATATATATGCGGTTATCGCTGTAAAGGTGCAAGGTAGAGCATGCTTACACTGAACTTCATTGAGTTAGCAACAGCTTGTAAATGCAAGCAACTTCTAAATGCAATATGCCAGGTAGTTTTAACAGCAGGAGGTGAACAGCCCATTGTGTATAACATTCCACACACTGGTGTAAAAACTAGCACATACTATGGGGAAATGAGAAAATATCCAAGCCTGAAAATCCCGTAGGACCCTTGCTGATTGCTATCCTCTCCTATGCTCCCCCTCTCTCGTCTCGCAACACTGAGGAAAGAGCATCTGCTAACCTACGCTCGCTCCCCCTCTCCTCTAGGCATTCCTCCCCACGACGTTTACACAGCCATGCGCGTGTGGGTCTCCTTCCCCTCTCTCTTTGCAACACCACGCAGGCAGCATCTGCTAGCAAGTTTTGTAATTGAAAAAAAAAAAACGACTGCTCGCACTGCATAACGGTTCAGTAGCCACCCTGTATATATAGGCACTGGATCTTGACCTCCAAGGTAGTGTCAGTGGGAGATTTCTCCTGTGTGCTGTTGAACAATGAAAATTTGCAGTGTGCCCATTAACTAAAAGCAGACTGCGTGCCTCTGTGTCCAACCGGAGTGTTCTCTCTCTCACTGCCCATTAGCAGCGATTGGCATGTTCCAGTAGGAAACAACGGCGCATCAATGCGTGCTTTGCGCCTCCCCAGGTTTCTCTCCTGTGCAACGCCGCGATGAACGCCAGTGTCAACGTTGCCGCCAATTTAAGCATGGATCAAAAAGCCATGAGATGAATAATGAGTGTGGCATAAAATCAAGTTGAAAGAACTACTGAAAAATCATGGCATGTGTTGTTCGCGACTGTTCCGTAGCATAATGAACATACAGAACACATTTGTGGTGGCGTGCAATAAGCAGGAAGGCTGTACGGTTGCTCCGTTTTTCACCTAGACTATGCACCCATGCAACATTTCTCGGACAACAGCATTCAGTAAAGCAACAGAAATTGTTTTCCAGGTTCTTATTTGGCAGGCAGTAAAACTTGACTCCTCCACCACTCTAACTGTGCAAAAATGCATGACACCAAGTTACTGGTGTTGAAAAGTTGCAACCACTTTAATATCAATGCTCAGTTATATATTGTTACCACATAGGAGCATTTCACTTTACTTGCATATTTTCAGCAGGATCAATATATTTTTGCCATGATGCATTTTAATCACCATTATAACAATGCACCCTACCTGTTATCTTCTGCAGCAGCTGATTGGTAGCAAGCCTTCTCTGTGCTCTCTTTCAGCCATTGCAGGAGCTCATGTCGCTGATGAACACGTGGCTTGACCCTCCGTGAGTGATTTCCCTGTGGTGACGCTGGCATTCCACCAGATGAGTGTTTGCATCTGTTTCCTGTTGCTGCAACATTTTCTGTCTGCAAAAACCCAATGAGACTTATGTTAAGGCCTCCACTTTTTTTTATCATAATGCCAATGCTAGTCAAAGTATGCAAATTTTTTTCACACAAAATGTATGCAGCCACAACATCTGCACTGACTATAAATGGCTTTGTTAATATGCAAAATAGTAGTAGAGACAGTTTATAAGATAGAACTTTCCCAATTTTTAACACCAAAGCTTGCTGTGAAAGAACAGCGCATTCTCCTTTTTATTTTTCCAGCAAGGTGAATCGGGCAGCAACACAGGCACATATGTATGCACATGAAACAAAAACTGGTATCATAGCCTTCATTGTGTTCTCTTAAGAACAGCACTCAATACAGTTCACAAGGCGCAGAGAAGTAGCCAGTTGGCTACTCGTGAACCACAAAGCTCCGGCATGCATCGTGCATCGTAAATGGCATTCAACTTGACATACCAGTTATGAAAGTAATGTTCTCTGTGTACACAGCAAATATAAACTTAATAAATGTTGCTGATGACTATGGTGATAGCCACCAATATTTGGCCAGTCAGTGAGTGCCAAAGAAATCACCAACCTGTGGAGGAAACTTTCGGTGCACAGGAACCGAGAGGCTCTCCGGTGCTCTGCGACTAGGAGGTGGTTCATCTGTTAGCAATGTGCAAGCTGTTGGGGCACTACTGCGTGCTGAGGACTCTGAAAGTGGTCGAGTCTGTGCTGCGCAGCTGTCCTCATCTGGTCCAATGGCAAGTCTCACTTTGATAGTTCGACTACCCGACTTTGGCAAGCTTTTCTTTCCAAGTGCATCATAAATTGAACGAACGAGGCTTGCAATGTCCTAAATAGAAGAGCAAAATCATTTTCATTCCTGCCGCATACAAAAACTAGTGCAAGCATTAGTAAACACATCATGAATGTGCACACATGCGAACAAGCATCACTTGTGCACGCTATTTATGACTGTGTGCAACTAGTAATTCACTCGGTAGAGGCACAAGGTACACATTGTGAAGTATAACACACTAAACTTAAATTCTAAAGTATCACTTGGACTTTTCCAAGTAACAAACAGCAAGGCACTGAGATTGCAGAGCTGTGCTGAGTATAAAGGCATAACCTAAGACATGATATAAAGGCATAACCTAAGTATAAAGGCATAACCTAAGACATGATATCCGACTGGTAAGAAAAGTTAGCTAGTGAACAGAGATGGCTGGAGTCGGAAAGAGCACCAGCATTTAGAAGACATACAAAGGAAAACATTAGGTTGACCTGTATTAGTGAATTAACGCTTCTAAAACACCAAAAAATGGCACAGAAATGAGACGTGTCATGATAGGACCTTAAAATAACCTTCTACCTCCTCTGTAAAACAGTCTATTCCTCTAGCTGCTTTTACTGCCACAGGTTCACTGTATTGACTTTGTTTTCTACATATGCACTCTCCACATAAGTGATTTTCTATAACTTGTCTCCATGACAGGTTTTTTTTTTTTGTAATTTGCAATGCTGAAACAGCAAACTGTTCCAAGAAAAATGCACCACACTGTATTTTAAAGGGGCTTTTAGAGCACGAAATAAACCTCAGTAGTGCAAGAAAGTACTTCAAATTTAAGATGCCACAGTGATGAACCAGCAAGGAGGCTTGAACACCAATTTCAAGAAATGGGACTTTGACCTCACCTTCTATTCCCAATAATGACAACCCTGATCATAAAGTCAACAAAAAAGAATTTTGAATGAGTACCTAATGAATGTAATCTGGTTTTCCATTTGTTCATAATAGTTGCTCTAGGTCATAGCACAGCTGGAAACAAGAGCTGCCTGCTAAAACAGAATAATAATGGTTTATTTTTGAGGTTCAGTAACATGAAACAACATAATGGGTTATGATGATCATTATAGTGAATGGCTGATTACACGGAAAGCTCCTGCAGTTTGCAGTTATCTCCTATCAAAATTCAGCCATCGAAGCTAAGAATCACATCATCAACGTCGTGCTCAGCAGCTAAATTCTATAATACTGAACCACCGTACCACGCATAAAAGCCTACTCACATCTTTCGTTACCTTGCCATGACCATTGAAGTCGTAAAGAGTGAAGGAGAACTCCTGCCTCTCTTCACCATGGTGGGAGTTATTGCAAGACACATCCTGCATAGAGAAAAAAGAAACATCACATCTATTTATTCTCCAAGTCCTTATTGCACAGAACTCATTATATTCTTTTTATTATTAGCAGTCTATTGGAGATTCAACTGTGTCCGCATTTGTTATACGATAATATTTGTTATTTTTTACTCTACTCATTTGTTACTCTACGTACATATACACACAAGTGTTAAGGAGAAAATGCTATGAAAAGCACAAAAAGTGGAATGATCCATAGCAGCAAGTCTGGTGAGATATACGTGCCCGAGTGTCAGTCTCCACCCAGAGCATTCCAGCATCAGCTAATGTTTGGCAAATTCAACTCAAAACCTGCCATATAGCCGATGTGTCTCATTTTTCTTATCGTGGTTCTTCCGGGAGCTACAGTTCGATTTGGTTGCTGGTCACTACAGATTTAGTTGTAAATGCTTAGCATGGAAACACAGAGCTAGTTCTGGTCGCATAGGCTCACATTCATATGTAATATATCTCGTATCAAAGTGTTAAAAGGTCCCTGAACTTTTTGAGCCCTTTTATTTCCCAGTAGAATTATGCAATACTTGGAGGAAAAAGTAATTTCTTATTTATAAAGTATCAGTTAAAAATTGCAGGGTTAAGGGTAATTTTTTTCTGAAGCTCTGTAAAAACAATACCTTCCAACAATCTAAACTAGTATGTAGATACACTCATATCTCACTATAACAAAGATACATCTTGCAAGAGAATAAGTTCATTATGTCAAATTTATTATAAAGGTTACTCCTAACACTGTATCTATTGAAAGACAATTTCTCATTTACTTCTTTATAACCGATATTTCAGTATATCCATGTTCGTTATAATGAGATTTGAGTGTACATTACTATTTGGTCAAACTCAATGTATTTTCACAATGCTGTATTATTTGCATGCCTAATATGTGTCATTTATTTATGTGTATCTTCTATCACCTGTAAATAAACTCTGACTATACGATGCTTTTCTGGTCACGAAACTCCTCTGTAACATTATGGGAAGAGCCTTTTATGTCAGCGCAGTGGCGGTGCTAAGACCACAAAGGGTGCATTGAAGAGAGTTTCATTGCGTATGGAGAGCTGGTCGACCTGAAAAATCCAGCAGAATCAGCACTAATATTTCCTTGTTTTTCAGCATTTGTGTGACTGACGGCTGTGATAATTGCATCCAAGGTCATGGATGATATATGTGAATTATGATGCCGAAGATATGCTGTTGTCGCTCAGATTACAGATGTACGAGTGAAAAAATGTCATTTAGTTCGCCTAGGAACAGTGATGAGACTGATGAATGAGAATGTGCAATACCACGAAAGGAAGCTGCTGAATTCATTTTAGATTCTAAACATGTTAGAGTGCGAGAAAGCTTTTGATGCCAGTTATTTTTTTTATGTTCTTGCCAGTCTATTAGGTGCTTCGCATTTTTTTCTTGTTTGCACATGTTAAAAAAAGTGTTTTTTTTTTCTATTTCCATCGACTTAATGTCAACTAAGCTAATGTGTTTCTTTTTTTTTTAATTTGCATCACTTTGCTGGTTTTTTTTTTTTTTGTCCCTTCAATACCTTTCTTTCTTCATTTACTAACCTTGCACAGCGTTCTACGCTAAAAAAGTGTCGTTCATACCTTTCTGTTTGCTTAGGTAATTTATCAGTATTTTTTCTCTCTCTTTCAATAGTAACATTCTCTGTTTACTGTAAATTAGTGGATTGACAGTGTGATGTTTTTAAACATATGCATTGAAATAAGCAATTATAAAAAGTATAAGCTCGATGGGCATTAGTGCTTCCTCTGCTTGACACGTTTCTCAGTATTTGCCCATGTTGACTTCAAGTAGTTGCACAAGAAGTCAAATACAACAAGTACACTGCACAATCAACACCACCACCACCCGAACACGTTAAGACTATGCCAAAATGATGCCACTCTGCTTTGCCATTTATAGTTGAGAGTGGCTTATACAAAGCCATTCTTCTTTCGAATTGAAATGACTGAGAACCCTTTTTGCAATAAATGTGAACCTTTTTTGCAATAAATGTGAAAGTGAGGAAACATTAGAGTGCATCTTCCTGCTACTGCCCTCGCAACAATGTGCAGAGAACACCTCCAGCAGCTGCTATAGCTTGCATAGATGACGCAGAAACCATTCTGAAATGTCGACCTGAAAGGTCATCGCGGATGACCTCTCAGGTCGCTGCTTAACTTCTTGAAGGCAGCAGACTCACACTGGTGATTATAAAATGAATGTGTTATGATCACTGTGAAGTGTGAGTTTGTGTGCATGCTCCCTGCCCTCCCTCTCTTTCTACATCTCTAAAACTCTCAGCCCTTTCCCTTTTGTAGGGTAGCATATCAGTCCTAGAATAGTTAACATCCCTGCCTTTCCTTCCCTTCCTTTTCCTTTCCTCCCTTTCTTGCCAATGTTACATTTTTCACATTGTGAATAAATTGAAAGTGCTACATAGCTCTGCTTGTGAACACATGCGCTTATTTTTTCTAGATTAAAGAAACACGACTTCATTTCATTTATTAAGTCTACCCTGTGAGCAGTTTTCATCAAGAAATTCCTTGCATTGCGTGGTGCAAACGTAGTCGATCTAAGCAGTCAAAGATTTGTGAAAGTGCCACCATATCCGACTGCCCTTGAACACTAGACAATGTAAAGTGCAACATACTTTCGTTCTTGGAATTTTGTCTATTTAACATGTAGCTTTCAAAACTACATGTCATAAATGAACAGAACTGGGTTGCAAGCTCAGAGTTAAGGCTACGCCATAGATCCTAGAGATCAGTGTGTATTGACATTGCACACGGATGTTAACCTTGCGAAAGATTCATTCCCATTTCAAGGGTTGCAAAATATGTGTGTTCGGTGGCAGCGAAGTGAAGTTAGCTATTATAAATTGTAAACACAGAAATGCAGAGCTTTTCTTTTTTGTAATGCGGCCATGTACCCTGACATTGATAGTCTGGTTGTAAATAGCAATCAGCACTGGCTCGATTCTCGCTGCGAGATTTCATTTTGCAAGTTGGTGAATTTATAGAACTTGTGCAGCGCTAAAGTCCAAGTAAATATTGTATGCCTGAGTAAATACTTTTGTGCTCCACTGCCTTAAGTAAGGAACCGTGCTGGAACAACATATGCAGTGAATATTGCTGCGTACAATACAATTAGATCCATCGCAGCCTCAATATCTAAAAAAATATACGTGAAAGCCAGTTCTTCAGATGCATATGCAACAGCCACATTGTATGTCAGTTGCTAGTTGAATTTTTGCGGTTTGGTGCAAGGTAAATCATTGCCTTGAACCGGCACAGCATTCAGCTTAGAGCAGCATGTGTGCACAGATGCCCCCACGTTCACAGCGGTGACCCAAGCGGTTGTCAACCCTAGCAGCGGTGTATGAAACTACAGGAGGAGTTGCACGACCAGAAAAACATTGAAAGACTCTAATACGATTATTTGAAACAATAAATTTCTTGTGACCTTTGCATGATGCTGCATGTATAAATTATTTGATTGCAATGGTATGGCATTAATTCTGACATCACAATGAAATAGTCCATGCATTGTGGCATGACATGTATATGAATTAAGCACAGTCTGTCCATTCTATGTAAGACAGCAGCATGATGAGGTCCAGTTGGTTCATAATTAGAGCAGAGGATGAAACTGTGCGATAATAACAAAGATGCCAAAGGAGTGTATTCCATAGTGCAAGTGCTGACTGCCAATTGAAAGTTTATTATAAGAAAACTGGCCTTTTATATATTCTCAGAGTAAACATGATTACATCACTCATAATCACTAAGTACAGTCACAATCTTTCTTTCAAAAAGGTTATCAGGTTGAAAAAATAATATGAAAAAATTCTTTTTTTTCCTCGGAATTAATTAAACTTACTATTGTTTTACGTGATACATTTACACAAATACGAAAAGTCACATTAAGTACACAATTTTTAATATTAGATTTAAAAACTGGTCTTATGTCTCTGGACTTGTGATCTTGTCATATATATGTTTGCCTTCAAATTTATACAAAAGATTAAGTGAACTCATTGGGCAGTTGGTTCAGATCTTTGTAGCACAGTGCTGCACATTGTTTTTGAAATGAACTTAAGGTCACTGGTGTGCACTTAGCCCAACAGGATCTAGTTTCTTTGTCCCAAAATAGGGTGGCTAGCGTGTGTACACTGTAAATGCCATACAAATTAAGAAAGGTTGGTAGGTAGTTTTGGAGTGCGTAGAGAAATCGGGTTTAACTCGATTCTTCTGAAAAACGTTTATAGTGTAATAATTAGATAAAACCTGATTTCACTCAAAAGCAAACAGCCCTAAATATGATCGATATAACACATGTTTGCTTTGAAAATATGTGAAAGGCAGTTTTTCGGTAAAAACTTGCAGTTGGCAGTCAGCGCTGATCCTGTGGCATTCGTTTCTTTTGCGTCCTTCGTTTCTTTTGCGTCCTTGTTCTCATCACACTGTCACATCCTCTACTCCTACTGCACCATAAACTAAGTAAAGTGCCTTGCACTGCCCTGCTATACAAAAGACACTAAACTTTTCATCCTCACATTGTTCACTTGAAAAATGCATACACATCTCCTTCCGCAGTAGTGGCTACTTTTGTGTACGCAAGTTGTTTAATGCCAGTCATGTCAGCTTGTGGCAAAAAGAGACCAAGATTACTGATTGGTTGAACTGAACTTTCTCTATAGTCAGTTTGTCTTGACTTTGACGCCAGTGTGCTGTGTATGATAGCAGTCGATCTTTTTAGTGAAGGCAATATGATGTTCGGCAGGTTGTTCGATGTGCCGCGTATCAGAACCAATGTCAAGAGGACTACTTTTCTTTTCTTGAATTGAATACGACCAGTGCACACATATGGAGCATTTGATATCAATTCTTTTTATGTCTAAATGGAATATGACTAAAAGGAGAATAATTATTTATTTAATTATAAGTAAATTACAATTAATGACTGAAACACACATAACAATACATTCCTTTATTTTCTTTTTTTATGTAAAGTGCCTTTAACAATACACTCCTTTATTTCCTTTTTTTTTTCATGTAATAATAAGTGCCTTGGAATTAAGCTATGTGAATTTGGCCCATTCGTAGACAATGCATCATAGTTCATGCATGAAGGGGATATATACTGCTGTAATTATATGGAAGCTCAGCCTCAATATCAGCAGGGATCATTTAAAAGATGAATAGTCTCTTATATATTTTGGCTCTGATACAATAGCAAAGATTGGTCAGATTATTTGAAGGAACAGTGAAATAAAGTAAAAAAAGATGTTGCAGCACTTACAGATAATTGAAATGAGACAACTCTAAGTTAACAGCACATGAATGCTATATAAGAATATACTGTAGTCATTAAATTTATTCATCTGAGAGTTACTGCATATATTAAAGTACACATTAAGTGCAATACATATGTAGTGGACTTTCCTAAGTTTTAGGCAAAAGTGGCTAATGTACCTAACTCTTTATATTCCGCCAGGCAGCTAGGTGACAATATCAAAAGTACTTCGCCCAATATAGGTTTAGTAACGCTATACTTTTAGTAATCTGTGAGCAGTAATATATATACTATATCGCCAGGCCTATGCGAAACGTGCAGCACAGTCACAGCAAAAGCGTGAAGCGCAACCTTTCAGAGCTCTTTATAACCATTCTTTGGGTAAATGCTAGAAGCACAGTTTCTGGGTACCCACTATGCCATAAATAATCATAATTTTTGTATAGTAGGCCGGCATGCACTATGCGGTCCTTCGTCATTCTTTGGAGGAGCGTGGTATGCACTGAACACTTGCAACAAATTTTTTACGAATTTTGTGTTGCATTCAGCGGCTGACGACAGTAAGAGAATTATGCCTGAAGTGGGTATGTGCCACAGTTAATAGGTGATGAAGAACAAGCTTTTGTAATGTGTTTGAGGATTGGAAGACCCACTCGTTACACGATTCGCATTGTGTGATGCGCCTGGTTGTTCCTTTGCTGTTATAAAATGTTTTACTACTCATATTAACGAGATTCCTTTCCCAACAAAAAGCCTGCCTAAAGCAAGTTTGCGAAGGATACCCACACACCGGTGTGGCTCAGCGGTAGGATATGGGGCTAGCATGCAGTGGACCCAGGTTTGAATCTCACATGGCACTACATGTCTTTGGTGTTTTTTTATTTGATTTTTCTTATTTCGTACGATATTGGTTACAAACACCAGCGGCGGCGGACAACTACGGCGCTGCACGTGATCTGGGTTCTGATCTCATAACAGCTTTCGTTGTAATTCAAGTCCTGCATATAGGATGCTACATTCATAATAAATACAGAACCACACAGTGTGTAACAGAAATCCAAAACTTAATATACATGAAACCTCAAGCAACAAATCTGGGGTACCAGCAAAACTTGACACTTTACAGATAGCTTTGAGCTCCATAATTAGTGCAATGCAGCTAAAACTCGAACTTTCACTCCACCCATTAACACTACGTCGTGCCATGGCCGTTTTGTCTCTCATAAATATACCAAAGCCGATCACCCCTACCACATTTACAACGTTACTCTCACTTATCGCACAGACTACACAATGACTTCAGCTACTCCCGCGTTTATGGCAACACTAATACTTTTAACTACTCATCCCTCCTGCGTGCCATACGATTGTGGAACAATCTTCCCAATAGCATCGTCCTTCAGCATAATCCCAACATATTTCGTGAACATATCATCCATTTCTCTGATCAATCTTAGCTGGTCCATTTTGTTTCATGTTTTTTGCAACCCCTTTTTATTTATTTTTTACCAATTTTTATTTCATCAGAAAAGTGATACTCTTGTTTTTAAGCTTTGTTGTACTAGATATTATTTGACTATATGAACTAAATTATTTGACTAAAAATTTATAGACTAGAAAATAGATTAGCTTTGTACTAGAAATTATTTTGCTATGCTAGTAATTGTTTGTTTTTTATTATTCTCCATTGTTCCTACTTCTGTGTACTAACCGTTTTTGATGTCTTCTAAATTGTTCTTACTTTGTATTGGCCCCCTTTACACAATGTCTCGGTGAGGCCTGTAAAGGGGCTCTGCAACACTTTTTAAGCATGGTCAGATTTCTTACACTCAGCAGCATGTATTCAGGCATGAAGCAGCCCACAGGTACAACGTCCCATATAGCCACAGGATCCAATGATGCCACCATGCCAGACACACATCCACATTGTTGACAGATTGCTACCACACCACCGGCAAGTAAACAGATTGAACGGAGGTTGCGACCACACCACCGATAAGTAAACAGATTGAACAGTTGACTGAATAACACTCTCGCTTTCAACAGAAGCGAAAGCGGAGCGCCAAGCATTAGCCCCCCTCCCCATTTTTTTGCTCTAAGTGCATTGTGAAGGAATGAAAGGCTTTTCGCTACATGGTTTGGGTGACACCGACTGCCTCTGACTGCTGAAACATCCTAACTGGTGCATGTAACAGCATCTTTCATGTCCATGGTGTAATCTGCGGCCATTTTCCTGCTAAAGGCACCTGGCGTGCATTTTGCAGAGGCTGCATTACTAGATTTTTTTAATATTTTTTCACGCACATACCAAGTTTAGCTTAGCATGGTAATCATGAAGCTGATCATTGTTAGAAAAAAAAAAAGAAGGTAAGTGGGGCCATGCAAAAAAACGACAAAGAAAAAAACCTTATGCAGGAATGCCCTTATGTCACAGACTAAGATAATACCCAAGTGGCCAGAACTAACCGTTGCACTTAGACTTTCTCCTCTTTCCTCCTTCTCACTTCTCTCTTCCTCAGCTTTTTCTGGTCGCTCGTCATCCTCAGTCAATGATGGTGTAGTCACCTTGTCTGTGCTGCCTGTACTGCCTTCTGGAAAACCACAGAGAAAGAAGAATGGGTACCTAGTATAGAAGTGCCATCAGGAAATGTGATAAAAAAGTAGAATAATGATTCCACCAACTTATTTACTACCCTAAGCCAATTCTAGCCAAGCATTCAAGCTTTCTTACAAGCAGTCATGTGTTAGCAGATTTAACAAAAATAAGACTTTGGTCTTACATCTGCCTACCATATCTATCGCGTTTTATAATACCATTGTGACATATGTTGCACGTGCTATCGAAGAGTACTACTTTCCAAGGAACTCACCATGGTGCAAGCATTTCTCTTCCTCGAATCTGTCATTTGGTTTGCAGCTCTCATCATCACAAAGTGACAGAGACAGCTCCTAGAAGAAAAGTGAGCATAAAAGAAAATGTAATGTCTACTGTCAGTTAAGACAAATGCAAGACAATTTCAATCTCTGGAAAGTGCCAACATACAATTATTTAGTATGTCGGGGGGGGGGGGGGGGGGGGCTTGAAACAAAATTTCAGCTAACAGTGCCATTCAAAAAGAAAGGACTTTGCAATATCTCATATATGGGTCATTTCTCACGGCAATTTGGTTACCGGATTCGATTCGAGAGACACATTCATAGCAATCGCCAGAATGGCCAGAACCTCAGCGCCAATTTCAAATATAGGTTTTGTTCCACGGTTCTGTTTCAACAGATATGGTGAGCACACGAGGTGCCCCGAGAAAAAAAAAAAAATGCTTGAGACCAGTCACGTCTGTATGTGTAGCTCATGAACATACTTATTAAAGGGGAACTCCGGCGTTTTTTCGATATTAGCCGATTTCAATAAAACATGTGTTTTTGTCAGTGCCGCGGTGATATGTGCCAAATTATACAACATTAAGTCACTTGGTTTTTTGAAAACGAGTTTTAAAATTTGTAGCCGATCTTTGAATCAAACTTGTAAACGCAGGCCACAACGTCAGGGCCTACTCTTCTTCGAAAACCCTGCCTTTCCAAGCAGACGGATGCAGCGCGGGCTTTCTTGTACGAGGCAATGACAACGCAAGCACAATTCAGTTTTGTCAGCTGTATACTGCGTGTTAGTCGTCGTTGACGTCGGGTCAAACAATATCGAGCAACGAGGAAATCGATTCGAGGCATGTCAGATGCTTCAAGCGCCAATGGGTCTCAAGCAAAAAGCCATGCTTCCGTACTCAGATAGCAGCTGCAATCATCGTTAAACTTGTCACTAATAAGTTCAGATGAGCTATCACAGCTCGATTCCGGGTCGGATGACATCGCCAACTTGCTTTTCGCGCTCTGTTTACACTCTGGCCAGCCTTGGCGGGGTGCAGCGAATCTGGTGACGTCATCCGATAGCCACCATGCACAATGGAGCAGCTCTGTTTCGGTTTCTGTTTTGACTCACTGTTTGTTGCCTAATTAAACTTTTTGACGAGTGCCTAGGCAAAATGAACCACTTTAGCTTTTACAGGACTGTCAATACTACTTGAAAGCAGCATTATCTCACTATGGTCAAAAATGCACCAGAGTTCCCCTTTAAGAAAAAAAAAATGGAATGAAGACAGTCATGTGCAGGCCAGGAAGTGTGAATCCTGGCCTATACAGTACTGTAGTTAAATGTCACAAGTATTACACCTTTTCTTTATTAAGGCAAGAGACTTATATGTCTCATCAAACACGAAAATCGACTGGCGGCGGCAGCCCGTGTCGGTGGCGTCGACCTAGTGACACAAAACATCACCATCACCTGAAGACATCACCGTATGATGTCATCAAAACATTAAAGATCACCAAAATCTGAGACGTGATCATGACGCAGCATTATGACGTTATCACATGGTGTGATGGTTTCGCACTGCCTTCTTGACCGATCTGCCGATCACGGAGGCCCTTCAACACCACGTCAAGTATGCCTCTGATTCCAGCGGCAGGTCAAAGCCATGTTAGGTGCATAAAGCATTCCGAGTGGGTGGGGAAGAATAAATACATCAACTGAAAAAAAAAAATGAAGATTGGTTTCGCCTCCAAGTCGTCTAGAAGCAAACGCATGAAGAGTGCAACAGCTGAAATAGAATTGGAAGCAATTTCTGGAGCAGGAAAATGTTACATTTGAGCACGAAAATCTAAATGTGGAGCAGGTTACAAAGAAAAATAAAACATACATTTCTCATCACGAAAGTGCAAATTAGGTGCAGCATAAAAAACAAGGGTTACATTCAGAAAAGATACAAAATATTTTCAAGAGTATAATAGCTTCATGATGAAACAAGCGCAAAAATACACACACTCAGAGAGGACACAGACAAGCGCTTACTAGCGAACCTTTACCAACATGCCCAACTTGTAGTCATCCTAAGTATAATAGCTTGTATTACATGGGGGTTGCGGCGATGGCGTAGTGGTTAGAGCATCCGCCTCGCATGCAAGAGGTCCGTGGTTCAAATCCCGGTACCGCGCAGTTCCCAACCGGATTTAAAAAAAAAAAAAAAAAAAAATCCGCGTGTTGATGGAACTGCATTAAGAGGCCTGGGGTGCGGCCTCACCGGCAAACACCGCCGAGAATGCACTCCCTCACCAGAGAAGGATTGGCCACCCTGGTGCAGTATCTGGCCACTACCTCCCACATGCTTACGTCAAATAACTCACGGCCCTCAGTCCCCAGCAGCTGCGAAGCAACTGACCATGGCGGCGGTCAGATCTGCAATGCAGCAGAGGGTGCTAAGAATCTCTGGATCCGGACAGGCCGCCATTGGAACCTGAACTTGGCAACGTTTAATGCTAGAACCTTATCTAGTGAGGGAAGTCTAGCTGTACTATTCGAGGAGCTAGAGGGTGTTAAATGGGATATAATAGGGCTCAGTGAGGTTAGGAGGACAGATGAGGCCTATACGGTGCTACAGAATGGGCACGTCCTTTGCTACAGGGGCTTGGCAGACAGAAGAGAACTGGGAGTGGGGTTCCTAATTCACAGAAACATAGCTGGCAACATAGAGGAATACTATAGCAATAATGAAAGGGTGGTAGGTATCGTAATTAAACTGAATAAAAGATACAAGATGAAGGTAGTACAGGCTTACGCGCCTACATCCAGCCATGATGACGCTTCAGTTGAAAGCTTCTATGAAGACGTGGAATCGGCAATGAGTAAGGTAAAAACACAGTATACTATAGTGATGGGCGACTTTAATGCAAAGGTAGGGAAGAAGCAGGCTGGAGACCAGGCAGTAGGAGATTATGGCATCGGTACTAGAAACGCCAGAGGAGAGCTACTAGTAGAATTCGCAGAACGCAATAATTTACGGATTTTGAATACCTTCTACCGAAAACGAGAAAACCGCAAGTGGACATGGAGGAGCCCTAATGGCGAAAATAAGAACGAAATAGACTTTATAATGAGTGCACAACCTGGAATCGTGCAGGATGTGGAAGTGATTGGCAAGGTACGATGCAGTGACCATAGAATAGTACGGTCTCGAATTCGCCTAGACTTGAAGAAGGAACGACAGAAACTGATACGCAAGAAGCCAATCAATCAGCTAGCACTGAGAGGGAAAGTACAGGAATTCAGAGTGTCGCTGCAGAACAGGTACTCGGCTCTTAGTGAGGAAGCGAACCTTAGCGTAGATACAATGAATGATAATCTAACGAGTATCATTACGGAGTGTGCAGTGGAAGTTGGAGGCAGGGTAGTTAGACAGGACACTGGCAAGCTTTCCCAGGAAACGAAGAACCTAATTAAGAAGCGTCAAATCATGAAAGTGTCAAGTACAACAGACAAAATAGAACTGGCAGAGCTTTCGAAGTTGATTAATAGACGTAAGGTATGCGATGTAAGAAGGTATAACATGGAGAGAATTGAACACGCTCTGAAAAACGGAGGAAGTGTCAAAGCATTGAAGAGGAAACTTGGGATAGGCAAAAGTCGGATGTATGCACTAAGGGACAAAGAAGGCAAAATAACTACCAATATGGATAGGATAGTTAAAATAGCAGAGGAGTTTTACAGAGATCTGTACAGTAGCCGTGACAACCACGGCCTTAATACTATAAGAACTAGCAGTAACCCAGATTACACCCCACCAGTAATGATAGAAGAAGTCAGGAAAGCTTTGGAGAGCATGCAAAGGGGCAAAGCTGCTGGTGAGGATCAGGTAACATCAGATCTGCTGAAAGATGGAGGACAGATTGTGTTAGAAAAACTAGCCACCCTGTTTACGAGGTGTCTCCTGACGGGAAGAGTACCAGAGTCTTGGAAGAACGCTAACATCATCTTAATACATAAGAAAGGAGATGACAAGGACTTGAAGAATTACAGGCCGATCAGCTTGCTCTCTGTAGTATACAAGCTATTTACAAAGGTAATTGCTAACAGAGTAAAGAAAACATTAGAATTCAATCAACCAAAGGAACAAGCAGGATTTCGAACAGGCTACTCAACAATTGACCACATTCATACTATCAATCAGGTAATAGAGAAATGCTCAGAGTATAACCAACCCCTATACATAGCCTTCATAGATTACGAGAAAGCGTTTGATTCAGTAGAAATATCAGCCGTCATGCAAACACTGCGGAATCAGGGCGTAGATGAAGTATATATAAACATTCTGGAAGAAATCTACAGGGGATCAACTGCTACCATAGTGCTTCATAATGAAAGCAACAGAATACCAATCAAGAAGGGTGTAAGGCAGGGGGACACAATTTCCCCAATGCTATTTACCGCGTGCTTACAGGAGGTTTTATGAAGCCTAGAATGGGAACAGTAAGGGATAAGAGTCAATGGAGAATACCTTAGTAACCTGCGCTTTGCCGATGACATTGCATTGCAGAGTAACTCGGGGGACGAATTGCAACTCATGATTACGGAGCTAGACAAGGAGAGCAGAAAGGTGGGTCTTAAAATTAATCTGCAGAAAACGAAAGTAATGTACAACAACCTCGGCAAGGAGCAGCGCTTCGAGATAGGTAATAGTGCACTTGAAGTTGTAAAAGACTATGTCTACTTAGGGCAGGTAATAACCGCAGAGCCGAACCACGAGACTGAAGTAACTAGAAGAATAAGAATGGGGTGGAGCACATTTGGCAAGCACTCTCAAATTATGACAGGTAGTTTGCCACTATCCCTCAAGAGGAAGGTATATAACAGCTGTATCTTGCCGGTACTTGGCTACGGAGCAGAAACCTGGAGACTTACAAAGAGGGTTCAGCTTAAATTGAGGACGACGCAGCGAGCAATGGAAAGAAAAATGGTAGGTGTAACCTTAAGAGACAAGAAGAGAGCAGAGTGGATTAGGGAACGAACGGGGGTTAAGGATATCATAGCTGAAATCAAGAAGAAGAAATGGACATGGGCAGGGCAT